TGAAACTCCAGGTGCAGGATCTTAGCCAAGGAAAACTTGGGGCGAACTGGGCAGTGCATTTGGGGTATCGAATGTGCGGTCCACGGTCAACCCTCGGGATTATTCTTTTCCTTCCTCCTAATTACATGATGTGTATTAGGGATGGAAATATTGGTTAAAAAAGTGAACCGATTAAATAATTACAATTATTTTGTTTAATTGGTTAACCAAGGTAGCGGGCCTGGGGCCAATCCGGCCAGGGCCAGGGAGCCCACCAGCCGGCTAGGTGCATCCCGGCCTGCACCAGTCTGCCCGATGCAGGGCCGCCGCCAGGGTTACTGGATAACCTTTTACATCCATCCCTAATATGTATCAGGCTTTCCCCGCTGCTTTTCGGCTCTCCAGCTCTCTGTCCGCTAGGAAACGGTACGACTTGCGATTCCGCACTGGTGGTGCTGACTGTGGCCGCGTGGCCTCCCCTTGTGGAAGGGTGGGACCTCCTGGGGGTCTGGCACACTGAACGGGTCCTTCCAGGGGCCAGTTAAAGGCCGACGCATAGCACAGATCCTGTGAGTCTGACACCATTTGCATCTGTCTCAATGCAGCTGGCCTCTCAGAACCCGCTGGGGCAAAGGCGAGTGGCACTGTAATGGGGTGGCACCCTCGGCTCGGGAATACCCACTGGTTGAGTGCGCGTATGGCTGCAGTTTTTCCTCAATTTCCTCAGCTCACGGTGTCCCCCGTCGGCTGCTGCGCTTGTCAGATGGGTCTTCAGGACTCAGCCCAGATGCAAATGGACCCTTTCTAGGGTATTAGTCCAAGATGTCCTGCAGCCCTCCCCAGCTTCAGTCCTTTAACAATCCACCCGGGCCCATCACAGGACCCCTCCGTTGAAAATGCCTCTTTAGCTCTCCTCAGTCTGACCAAGAGGGCCGGGCTCAGTACCCTAGCCTGGCAGCTGATGCATGAAGGTTCCTGTTCTGGGATGGAGCAGCACCCCTAGGCCTTCCTCCCTGGAGACTCTTCACCTGACCTTTGGTCCTCTGACCCTGGCTCTCCAGCTGGGTCAGTCTCAGTTCAGCTCTGTTCTGGGGGGGCGGGGGGTGGGAATAACAGGCCCATGTACAGTTCCTTCCCTGGGCCTGTCTACACTCCCTTCTCTCAGGGCACAGCCACTTCCCCCAATGGCTGTTGGGGGACGGGGGAGATCTGGACCTGCCCTCTACTCCAGGTCCTAGCCCAGGGACCCTCTCAGTAATCAGCCACATCCCTTTAACTACCTGCGTTTCCCTGGGCCACCTCTCCGTAGCCCATCTTAATTGAGTTGTGGTAGCCAGCCAACAGCGATTCCCTCACTTCCCTGGTCCCTGCCAGCAACTGCCTGCCTTAGCCCTTACAGCCCCTCCAGCCAGCCAGGAGCACCTCTTGTTCCCCCAGTCCCTGCAAGCAGACTTCCCTGAGCTCAGTCCTGCCTGCAGTGAACTGTCCATGGTCCTGCTGCTCTTCCAGCCAGCGAGGAACCCAGGCTTCCCTCTTCCAGCTCCAGGCAGCAATTGACTGCTCCTCCTCTACTGCTCCCTTTTATATGGCCCTTCTGGCCCCTGATTGGCTGCTCCAACAGTCCCTCTGGTTGGCTGCTTCCCTTGCAGCCACTCTAGGCTGCAGGGGGCCTCCGGATCTAGTCCACCCTGTTACAGGTACCCCCACACACCAGCACTGAATTTGATCCACTATCTAGAGTTGGAACTGGATGGTCCGTGCAATTAGTGATAGGACATGGAATCTCTGGCAGCTGGTTGGGAAGTACCTGCGTAATGCGACTTGGGGTCTCCAGGCAGCCCAACTGCAGAAACCATCTTCTCAGTTAGAACTAGTAACTGGCCGTTCTAGCTGACAGGCCAAGGAGTGAGTGGGAATGAAGCTCCTAGATGAAATGGCGAGAACTCCAGTGCTACCAGCTACACCATGTCACTATGTTCACTTGGGACTGCAAAGGTTTCCATTAGCTCAAACACAACTTCTGTCTTCAGTCAGGAGATCTGACATTAACGCAACAGAGCTAGAGTTGGATGTGTAGAATATGCACAACTCAATACACCCACTATCTGGGCCATCAGTAGAAAGCACTGGAGGTGGAGCAATAAGGAATGTGTATTTTAATCTCTTTTTAAAATGCACCATCAGTCAAAGACGTGCACGACAAGGATTTTACCTACTGATCAACCAGGAATCAAAAGAATTGGAGAATAAACTTGAGCTGGAGCCAACTCTACCTTCAGCAATTTCACAGCTTCTCGTAAGCGAGCGAAGAAAAAAGAATTACCCAGGGAGATCAGGGCCTCATAATTCCCCTTCATCATGTTCTTGTAAAGCTCCTTCTGCCATTCCTCTAAGCTCCCCCACTCCGGCTCGTTGAAATAGACGGAGACGTCATCGAACGTCACCGGCACCTGGAATCACAAGCGTTGCACACTCAGTACCTCCTGGGTCAACCCGACCTGTCGTGTGAATCAGGAGAGATGGAGAGGATCAATGTCGTCTGGCTATTATTGGAAAAATGATTAGAAATGGGTTTGACGTAAAAAAAAAAACCCAGACATCATAGCTAGACCTGCACGAGACTATGCTGCCCCCACCCCCGCACAGCTGGAAAGGAAAATCTGAATTTGGTCAGGTGGAGGGTAGAGCAGAGACTGCGTCCCCCTCTCCATCAATGCACGATGCGGCTCACCCCCAGGATCAGTGCTGGAGCTTCCAGCCCGCCCTCCAGGTAACAGGCAGCACAGCTCAAATGCTGTTAGGGACTCCATGTCTGCAGCTGCACCCAGATCCCCCTTTCACAGGGGTGGCCCTTCCCGGGTCCTCAGCAGGTTTCAGGAACTGGGAAGATGCAATTGCGGAAGCAGTACTCTGAGTACTGATCCAAAGGGGACCATCTGGCCCCAGCGATTAACTGAGCTAGGAGGTCCCTGTGGAGCGACTCTTTGTTCAGGTTTTGCCTACAGAATTTGTTCTCAGAAGCTGCAAATACTGAGCAACATTCAAATTTAACCAAGGTCCCCGTTACACCATATGTGAGTGTCCCACACCTGATGTATGTAGCCTCAGAATAGGCCTGTGAGGCAGGGCAGTGCTGTTATGCCCATTGTACAGATGGGGAACTGAGGCACACACAGGCTAAGTGACTTGTCCCAGGACACGTAAGAAGCCTGGGACTGAGCGCAGGTCTCCTGAGTTCCAGCTCAGTGCCTTATCCCCTAGGCCGGCCTTCCTCCCCTGCAGAAATTTGAACACTGTACTCGGATATGAAGCCTGAGCGCTGATAGCGGTGCGCTGACGCCATGGAGTAACAGCGGGGAGGGAATGGGCCCAGTGCAGCCATGGTGTTCCTAACCAGTGGGATTTTAGGCACCGTCACACAGGTTGGCATCACTCCCTTCGTCCAAACCATTTTAGGCCGGTGAATAAGGAACAGCCAACGCAGCGTCAGAGCAGCACGTCACAACACAATTCGCCTGTGCGCTATTGTAGCACGTTTCTGTAACATGGTTAGAACATACTCTGGTCCTTCCAGAAGAGATACGAGCAAACGCGCTCCAGCGTGCAGCCCTGACTGGGGAAATCTTGCTGCGGAGATGGAATGTCAACGGGAAAAGAAATCTTTCAATAGACTGACGAGAGAAAGAGGCCACGATTTTCAAAAGTGGAGGTCAAAGCATGGCCTGGTCTACACCTAAAACTTAGGTCGATCTAATTTCGTCGTTCAGGGGAAATTAATCCCAAAATCTCCACCTAAGACAAGAGGGGTTGCGAACCTGTGGGAGGAGGGGCACCTGCGAGCGTGTAACACACAGAAATGACGACACTGGGGAGAGAGAAAACCAGCAAGTAGCAGCCTGGGGGTCGGGAACATGGGTTGGTGTTGGACCCTAGAAACGCCTAGAGCGATTTTGGCTCTGGTGCTGGCTACAGAGGCTTGGGGCTATAAGCTAAGACGACACTCTTTTAGCCTTTGGTTCCTCTCCTGTGTTGGGAGAAGCAGGACTTTTACCTTCCTTGTAAATAAACAGAATTCCATCAAAGAAAATACCATCAATACTGAATTCCAGCGGGAACACCCCCAGGGCCCGGCACTTTGACTGGCCGCGCAGGTCACAAAGGGCAATAGTTAGGCAATGAATAAATCCCCCGATTTTCCAGAGCGCCGAGCACCCGGCAACACCCGCGGACTCCAATGGGAGCGGCTGGCGCGCAGCACTTGGAGAATCGGGCCACTTATTCGTTGCCTAAATACGAAGGTAGGAACCCAGGTTTAGGCACCGACTCTGGAAAATCTCCGCACGTGATTCAGTTCCGCCCCTCGGCGCCAGCTGGGATAGCGTTACCTGGGGGACCTCCCCCCTAGCGCCTGGGGGGAGTCTCAGGATCCAGAAGTTCCTGTTCTTCAGCAGGTTCTCCATGTTCTCCAGCCTCCTCTGCAGCCGTCCGTACCCCTGGATCAGAGTTCCCAGCGCCGCCCACTTACTCTCCAGCTGGCTTTCAAATTGCATCACTGTTTTCTCACAATCGACTAATTTCTTCTCTGCTGTCCCCACTCTCCTCTCCAGAGTCAGCAACCGCGTGGCATGGGAATCCACCGTCCTGTCCACAGCTTGGATGGCAGCTACTGCGGGCCACATGGAAAGCTTTGCTGGTTGCAGCTGGCTTTCTCTCTCAGAAGTCTGTGTGGGGTCAGAGCGGGATTGGAAAGGCATCGGGCGCTTTGACTCCGGGTCCCACTCTGGAGCCTGTTTGCAAGGACAGGAACGTAAGTGGAGCTGGGGGACTCGTTATTCCACAAACAAAACTCCACTTAAAAGGGACTGAGGCTGAGCAAGTGCGAGAAGCCCCAGAGAACCAGCCCTGAAAAGCCAGGAAAGGCCAGGGAGAGATGGCCAGAGCGGCACTTCCCAACCCCTTTGGTTCAGGGCCCATTGGTAAAAGTTGATGGCCTGGCGCAGCCCAGTAAATAGGCCCGGGGGTGTGTGTGTGTGTGTGTTGAGAACTGCCTCAGGAAGGGGGCTCAGAGCCTGTGGGTGGGTGTGCAGAGCCCACCCCACACTCACCCTGCAGCAGCAGCTCCTGTCCTGCTCAGCTCCCTGCTCCAGGTGTCCTGACCTCCGGGGTCGCAGCGCCACTCAGGTTTGGCCCTGCCCCACTACAGGGGGCCAACTGGTCCAAATCTGTGGGAGTGGCCTTGTGACCTGGCTGGGCCAAACCCGAGCGGCACTGTGACCCCGAAGATCACAGTGCCCAGAGTGGGGAGTCGAGCCCAACCTGCCTCACGAGACTGGAGCTGCAGGAGCCGCCGCATGGCCCTTTGAAACGTTCTGACCCTCCAACTTTGGGAAACCCTGGACTAGAGTATTGTCCGCTAACGCTCCTGCTCTGGCTGGTTTGGGGCGCTGTGCGCTAGGTCACATCTCCCTGCCGGTCTCCGCTGTAGAGGACTTTCCGCCCCAAGCTCTGCTTCCACTCACCAGTGCTGACGGGGATCTGGGTCCCCTGGAGATGCAGATATAGTAACACTATGAATCGGGTGTAAAGCCGTGACAGTTCCTGCTGCGTCTCCTGACTGAAACGGGCACTGTCAAGGTTTCTATACTAAATATTCCACCGGAGATCTTCCTGCTGCTGCCTGAAACCCATCCCCACCCACACAGGGCCGTGCAGCCAAGATGGAGGTAACGCTTACACTCTGAAGGCCGGATCCTGGGAAGAGCCGAGCACCTCCGGAAAGGTGAAGCTTTGTCAGTACTTCTCAGGAGATGTGCAGCACCTTGTCGCAGGATCAGGTCTTGCCGTAAGATACAGCATAATGAAAGGTGGCAACGAGTATTTGGAATTGTGTGTGTCTTGTGGTAAGAGACCCAGACATGGCCCAGACACCTCTGTGCCCGGTGCTGTTCAAACACAATATGATCAAACTGTTCTGTGTTTGCAGGGCACCTGGCACAGAGGGGTCCTGGGCCCTGACGGGGGCTCTTAGCCATTACCACAATACACACAAATAATGTTTTCAATTGATGTTATCTGCTTTGTCTTCCCTTCCCTGCCTGCCCCTCCCTGCTCACTCCCACTTCAAATACTTGTTACTCTGTGGGACGAGGGAGGGGTTGCTATAGGACTGGGGCCCTAAGAAGTAGAACAGGGGTTCTCAAACTGGGGGTTACGACCCCTCAGGGGGTCACGAGGTTATTATGCGGGGGGGAGGGGTCACCAGCTGTCAGCCTCCACCCCAAACCCTGCTTTGCCTCCAGCATTTATAATGGTATTAAATATATAAAAAGTGTTTTTAATTTATAAGGGGGGTGGGGGTCGCACTCAGAGGCTTGCTCTGTGAAAGGGGTCACCAGTACAAAAGTTTGAGAACCACTGAAGTAGAGTATACCCCTTGCTCCCTAGCTCAGGGATGAGCAGTTTCACACCCCATCCATTGCTCTCGGCCCTGCTGCCATTAAATACACCCCATTGCTGACAGGCTCCGGCAGCCTGGACTGACTTCCCAGGCCTCCGTGTGTGGGGGCCCTGAATGGAGAGACCTTGCCCCGCTTCCCAGAGGTTCCTGACACTGGGCCCCACACACTGAGGCGCAGGAAGTCAGCGAAAGCCTCTGGCAATGCTGGGCCAGGGAACAGGGCGCTTCTCTCCAGCTCCAACTGACAATCAGACCCCAAACCGCCAGGCTGGAGGGGCTGGAGAGACAGTTTCCAAGCCCTGCCCCGGACAGCAGGACCCAGCCCCCAGGGAACTCAGAACTACGCGCCTCAAAGCACGAGAGGGCACCAAAGCCAGGACCAGTTTAACTCCTCTCCCCGTTCACACACCCTGGAGCTAGAGACCATGCTGATAAAATTTGCAGATGACACCAGGCTAGGAGAGGTTGCAAGCACCTTGGAGGGCAGATTTAAAACTCAAACTGACCATGACAAATCAGAGAATAGTATCAGAGGGGTAGCCGTGTTAGTCTGGATCTCTGAAAAGCAACAGAGGGTCCTGTGGCACCTTTAAGACTAACAGATGTATTGGGAGCATAAGCTTTGGTGGGTGAACGTCCACTTCGTCAGACGCATGGGTCTGAATTCAACAAGCTGAAATTCAATAGAGACAAGTGCAAAGCACTCCACTTAGGAAAGAAAAATCAAATGCACCGCTACAAATTGAGGACGGACTGGCTGGGGGGCCGGGCTGCTGAAAAAGCTCTGGGGGTTCCAGTTGACCACAAACTGAAGAGGAGGTGTCAGTGTGATGCAGCTGCAAAAAGGGCTCATCTGATTCCGGGGTGTGTTAACAGGCGTGTTGTAAGTAAAACTGCTCGACACTGGGGAGCCCCAGCCAGGGGGAGCTCCCAGTTCAATTCTGGGCGCCAGGACTGAGGAAAGAGGTGGACACATTGGAAAGAGTCCAGACGAAAGCGACAAAACCGATAAAAAAGTGTAGCCACGCTGGCCTGGGAAGAAGGGCTGCAAACACTGGGCACGTTTAGTGTCAAGAAGAGCGCGGAGGGGAGCCCGGCTCCGGCTCCCAGCGCTCCCGCTTAGGGCTGCTCGAGGAGCAGTTGTTCCCCCCTAGGGTGACCAGATGTCCCGATTTTATAGGGACAGTCCTGATTTTGGGGTTTTTTCTTATATAGGCTCCTATTACCCCCCACTCCCTGTCCTGATTTTTCACATTTGCTGTCTGGTCGCCCTATTCCCCCCCGCGGAGGCGGACAGGAGAGAACGGGCTCAGGGGCTCGTTGAGAGCCGCTTTGCACCCGGGGCTCTGGGCCAGGCCCCCAAGGGGGCTGTCGAGTCCCCCTCCCTGGAAACGTTTCAAAACAGGCTGGACAAAGTCCGGCCAGGGCTGGGCCAGGGTCACTGGGCCCGGCCTCCGCGCAGGGCGCTGCACCGACCCCCCATCGCCCCCGCATGTCTGTGACTCCATGAAAACCGTCGGGGATCCCCTTGTCCCGGGGCCCGAGGCTCCCCCGCCCGCCGGGCCCTTACCTGGGCAGCGGCCCG